CAGAGCGGACAGAAGAGATCTATGGAAAATGGTGAGCCGATTAGATGTCATATTTTCATTCTAACGGAAGTCGTGGCCGTTACCAGGCACCCAGTGTTTATCGACGCTATCATTCAGTCGAATGGAGCCGGCTTCGTTGGTACTCTTCGTTCTACGATGTCCACACTAGCTAGACGCAGAGTACAGTCGTGGCATGACGGAGCAACTCGGACCATCATATGGGGGTGGCCTGGCGCTGATGATCACTGATGATGATTATAATGCTAGAATCGAGACTGTTTTATGCCTTGAAAATCATTGGCTACGATAATCTTGTACTTTTATTTATGATGGGCGTATTATTGCTCCCGGACTCGAATTTACGGGCGAAGGCAACGAAAGCTTGATGTTCTTCGTGCATCATACTGGGACTGTCACGAATCTTCCCCTCCTGATGGTGACCTATCTGAATACAGCAATATCCTCGTCTGATTTCTAGATCATATCAGATCAATGTCATCACCCCTCGCTTTATATCCCCTGAACAACGCTGTTAATGCGGTCTCGTTCGTTATCGGAGGCACCAGGGCAGATACTTGTACAGATCACATTGTCTAATCAAGGTCAGAGGGGCAAATTTGATCTACAAGAACTGATTGAACAGATAAGTTCGACGTTCAGTGTTTCAACGCTGATCGATGTATACCTGTGGGCAGCTGTGTACTGAGGTCGTATCCGATAAGTGATTGGACGCTGTATTTAATTCCACCTTTCGCTCGCTCTTCTCAGGCTACTTCCTAAGTCTTCCCAAGGAACCTATAGAAGAACGAAGTCTGCTGCTGCTTCTATTACACAAAACTTTAAAGGCACTTCCAAGCCCGCTGCCACCTATTCCTATCCTGACCACTCGCCCGCACACACACCATCCTCTGGTGAAAAGAGAGGCCCGATGCATTTCCGGGGCTAGCGGACTTTGCTTCTATTTGTCATCCCGTCCCTTGCTTTCGACCTTGTCTGGTCTACCATCCAACAATCTATGTTGCTCCTTTTCTGTGGGTTCGTTATCAGAGCAGTCCATAACAAGACAGTCTCGTTGAACCGGGAGTCTCCACCATGCCGTGGAAGTGCCCACACAACTCATCGATTCTTTTCGGATGGCAATACACAGTGGATGCAAGCTACTGCTTGCATACTTGCGCGCAATCGAAGTTGATTTATTCTGAGCGGTAATACGGACGCGCCGTTACTCGCCGGGTCTCTTTCTCGCTGCAGGTCATTGATTTCGTGAAGGACAGAAGGAGAGCAGAAATGTTGATATTATCTAAAGTCTCAAATATCGATGATGTGCGGAAGACCGCGCCAGACCTCCCAGGTGCCATCACGGTGACATCGCAATTGCAAGGTTGGACATACAAACAGATGAACGTGGTGCAGTTGACGGACAAAACTCGAGCGTGATAATTAATTTGTCCAATACTACTCATGCACGTATACAGATCAATAGCAAAAAACACGCAGCAACATAGCGTGACGTGGTGGATGCCATTGCCACCGAGCCGCCCCTTCTGCCAGCTATTAAGGGATCGAGAGCCAGCATGCTATAAGTCATAGACAATGTCGTCACCCTCTACTTCCACTTGACTTGAAAACTTCGAACTTCGCACCTCTGAATGTCTGTTACGCTACTTCCGGAGGAGACCCAAAAGAACTTGCAACTTCTTACTCTGAAACATGGTCAAAATTGGGTCATGGTTAGACGGCATAGGCCGTATGACGTGGGTGGAACAATCATTTAAATCTTTAACGGCTTATAGATATTACAAGCTCATACTTGATGCCGCCTGCAATCATTTCCCAAGCATTCCGAGACACGTAGTCACGATGCAGACAAATGAACTCGATGTTTGCGAAGGCCACTATGTGGACATCACGGCTGAAATATGGGACGATGTCATTGACTTGCTTGATGTCGTTGAGGTGACTCGGCGTGAGGTCAACGAACAGGAGAGCTCGTACGCACCTCAAATATCCTACGAGTGTATGGAGTACTGAAGTTGATACCACACAGCAAAGTCACTATCAAAGTTGTTTTTCCATCTGGCGAGATTCAGACCACTAGAATCTCGAGGGAAATGCCGGTGGACAAAATTATCGCTGATGCTAGTCAGACATTAATGGGAATATTGGGACAGTGTCCCACTGACATCATGGCACTTCACTCTGAGGATGGGAGTTTGGGCGGGATAGTGATGCGTGGAAACCGGAGTATCGAATCGTACAACATCAAAGATGGTCACTCCATCATTCTTCGAGTTCGAAAGCGTCATCTTTGTAAAAAGCCGGTCATTTATCTATACTCGCCCTCCGATATCGATGTTTCTGTTAAGATCTCCCTCATTCCTGAGTGGACCCTCTCTGTCATCTATCCCGTTGTTGCCACGGAAGACCATGGACAGCGTTTAGAATGGAATGTCCGCACCCATCAAGATGGGAGTCTGACGGAGCATAATTCCGGTTTAGATGTGTCGTACCTGTTCTGGGAGGCCGAGTAAGTGCCTCGATAATAATGATGCCATTCTTCTAACTTCGCTCTTCGCAGGACAAATTTGCAAGCATTCCCCAGTCACCAGCGTTCGAACCGCAATCAGTGGATACGTTCAATCCTATATCCAGCGGTCTCGATGATATGGATTCGATTGTCATTCCAGCGGACAAAGCAAGTGTTTACCTCGATAAATCACTCAAGGTTTTGGGACTTCACACCGAGGCTAGGACATCATTCATAACGTGCGTACACATGCGCTACCTCAGGCTGTCAAACCATAAACATACCACTAAAATTGTCGTGATAGTTACTGGCTACCGTCCATCCTCAAGCATGAATATATTGCCCTCCGATTCGTCTCTCAAGCGGCATATGAACGTGCCGCTTCCTTGAGCATTTCTCCGCAGCCTGACGTCGTGACTCGCGTGTTCATGCTGTTCAGAGGTATCCCTAAGGAGCATTTAGCCAATTGGTCTAACGCCCAGACGCAAGCGGAGAAAGACGTGGCTTGGTGGGTGGATGTAGTTGGAGTTGATCCTGCAAGAGCCGGTGATGTGACTTTGTTCAGGGTGTTGGAATGGGGCGGGATGGAAGTTCCCATTTGATATTCTATCAGATTATTCGATTTGTGTAGGTGTTGTCGCGTTTTATCTTTATCTCGATCAGTTCTGCATTCAACAGTTGTGAGGAGAACGTGAGCTCGACGGTGTCTGCGAGATAGATTAAAAGTTTGCATGTTGTTCAAAGTATCTGTAAGGAGTACCGCTGATGCTGTGGCTTCATCAACGACACCAATGGATGATCAATGGGAGATATGGGAGTCTGCAAAGTCAATTAGGGGAAATTCACCGGCAAAATAATGCAAATCGGCTTCAAAAAGCTGGAGCTTTCGGGGGCAGCACCTACTCCTCTCACTGACAGCTGAGCAGAGCTGAGAGATTTGCGTCATTCACACCCGTAAATTCAAGTTGGCCCTCTGCGAGAGCCATGCTAATTTGCCTGTCAACCAGACGCCATACCCTAATTCCCGGAACTTTATTGTGCATGGATCACGAAAATATTTTATCCTGTTGGGAAGTGGGGGTTAGGTGCGGTGTTTGCCATTTGGGGGAGGGGTTTGCCAGTGGTCGACTGGCCGAGAAGACAAGTTAGGTGGCTTTCTAAGCTAGCCGAGGCACGAGGCTGGCGTAGAATATAGCATGTAGTATCACTTGTCATTCCTTGCTTCAAACATAACACCTCTTCGAAGGCCACTGAGCAGTACGGTACACAGACCAAGTCTCCAGCAGATAGAGTGTTGGAACTATTGAATAAGGACGTCCAGGAAATATTATGTAATGGCTAACTCACCATGTTACGTAAAAGCGTGGCGAAGTGAATTTTCAAATTCTGGTCTATTCGATATGAAGATAACTGTAATGTGCCCAATACAACTCATGCACGTATGCGAAACGCCACAGACCAACAGCAAACAACATAGTCGCATCATGACGTGGTATAGCCACCGAGCCGTCTACTGTTATTAGGGGATCTTGAAGTGCCAGCATGCCATAGCTCATAGGCAACCTCGTCGTCACCCTCTACTTGTACTTGACTTGAAAGCTTCGAACTTCACACTTCCGAATGTCTGTTACGCTACTTTCAGGGGAGACCAAAAGAAAGAAAACTCGCGACTTCTTGTTCTGAAATGTGGTCAAAACCGGGTCATGGTTTAAACGGCAAAGGTCGTATGATGTAGGTGGAACAACCATTGAAATCTTAACGGCTCATGGATATCATAAGCTCATGCTGACTTTGCCTGAAATATTTCCCAGGGATTCCGAGAGATGCAGTCACGTTGCAGACAATGAACTCGATGTTTGCGAAGGCCACTATGTGGACATCACGGCTGAAATATGGGACGATGTCATTGACTTGCTCAACGTCATTGAGGTGACTCGGCGTGAGGAAATGACATCGCGCGTCCCACCGCCGCTTGGTGCTCACCGCGCTATCTCATCACCTAATAACCAATCGCGCCACGTCGGGTTAACGAACAGGACAGCTCGTACGCACCTCAAATATTCTACAGCTGTTTTCAGTACTTGAAGTCGAGACTACATAGTAAGGACGATGGCAAAGTCACAATCAAGCTATTTCTCATCTGGCGAGGTTCAGACTACTAGAGTCTCAAGGGAAATACGGGTGGACAAACTTATTGCTGATGCTTGTAAGACATTGGGACATCCCACTGATTTCATGGCAGTTCAGTCCGTGGGTGGAGTATGGGTGCGGTAATCATGCGAGAGAACTGGAGCCTCAGATCGTATGACATCAGAGATGGTAGCACCATCAGTATTGAAGCAAAGTGTCGGCTCGGTAAAAAGCCAGTCATTTATCTATACTCGCCCTTTGATATCGATGTTTCTGTCAAGCTCTCCCTCCTTCCTGAGTGGAAGTCTCTCTGTTATCTATCCCATTGTTGCCACGGAAGGCCATGGACAACGTTTTAGAATGGAATGTCCGCACTCATCAAGATGGGAGTCTGACGGAACACAATTCTGGTTTAGATGTGTCGTACTTGTTCTGGGAGGCGGAAGTAAGTCCCCTGATGATGCAGAAATCACTTTCCTAACTTGTATTACTCTTCGCAGGACAAATTTGCCTCATTCACCAGCATCAAATCGCAACCGGTGGATACATTCAGTCCCACATCCAGCAGTCTCGGCGATACAGATTCAGTTGTCATTCCAGTCGACAAATAACTGTTTACCTCGATAAATCACTCAAGGCTCTGGGACTTCATACCGAAGCTAGAACATCATTCATAACGTGCGTGCGCAGGCTGTCAAATCATAAACACGTTCCTAAAACTGCTGTGGTAGCTACTGGCTACCGTCTATCCTAAGCATGAATACATTGCCCTTCGATTCGTCCCTCAAGCAGCATATGAATGCGCCGCTTCTTTAAGCATTTCTCCGCAGCCTGACGTCGTGACTCGCGTATTCATGCTGTTCAGAGGTATCTCTGAGGAGCATTTAGCAAATTGGATTAACGCCCAGATGTCAGCAGAGAGAGACGTTGCTTGGTGGGTGGATGTAGTTGGGGTGGATCTGTAAGGGCCGGTGATATGACTTTGTTCAGGGTGTTGGAATGGGGCGGGATGGAGGTTCTCATTTGATATTACTCAAATTGTGTAGGTGTTATCCGTTTTATCTTGATCAATTCTGCATCTGACAGTTGTGAGGAGAGCATGCTAGCTCAACGATGTCCGCGCAAAACTGGGTGAAATAATATATAAGTATATTAGTATCATCTAACCCCCGACGAGATTCTTAGGCAATCCATCCCTTTGCCACTGCTGGGAGCTTCGGGGTGGCTCTTTTCACTGAGGGACATGCAAGGGCGTTCCAACGAGCTGCAGTGACTTCGTCGAGGATGGAGGGAGCACCGACTTGGCTTTTGGTGCATCTTTGATTTGATTGTTTCACGATACGCCCATTCAAATTCTATACAAATGTGTCAGGGACTGGCACGGCCGAGTGCCGTTACGATATAATAGAAGCCAAGCTTCTTACAAGTACATTGAGTACTACTAGAGCGCCGAAGCTGAAATGCAGTGTTTGAAACTGGTACTCGTAAGAGTCTGGCATATAGTAGGAGTCGAGATCGAATTCGAACGCAGACACTATAGTGACACCTTATACTGCAAAATTTACAGGTTTTTACTTGTATAAGAATATCTCTCCTTACTAGTATTTCTGCTGTACACACGGTAGTAATAGTACTGCTTGGCACAGCATGCACAGCAACCTCGTGGCCTCCTGCAACAGTTGCAACAGGACAAGCACCCACTTGTCTTTGAACTGTATCCCATCATCCAGCAAGCTTTCCATAGATTGAAACATTCATTGATCCCATCCCATTTCCATTGCGTTTTGGAACCCTAAGTTGACAACTTACTTTGACTACAACAGATCTTCCAAATCTTTGTACGTTGTCCCTGGAGATAAATATTGCCCAGATGATTTCTAATTGTTGAAGTCTGAAGGATCCGAAGAGAAAGAGAGTGAGGAAGCCGAAGGATCCGACATGATAGGTATGAGCAAGAGAGAGAGAGGTCTGAGTGCATGAGGCAGATGGGCCAATAGGCTGCACCCAAATGACATTGGCTTGCGCCCTGCAATATACATATGTCAGAAAACTTCACCTTTGCATTCCTTACTTACCTCCTATAAAACCAAGCACCCATCAGATGCACACATCTCAGTTCTAGTTGAAACTGAGATGTGAGTACTTGGAAACATGTATGTCAGCATTTACTGACCAAAACCATAGTGTACCTTTGTGTTCTAGGTACTATACATGTTAATATGAGTTCTAGTTGAATCTAGTTGAAACTGAGATCGTACCTTTGTGTTTCTAGCTCCCTCTCCTGTCGTCCACTTGCCTATTCTCGCAACAGGTTATGAGCCCTGCTACAGCCATGGAAATCATGCTCCCCTCCTCCAGCTTGCCCTATTCAACGTCCCAAAGCTAGCCAAAGATGGTAGCAATTGGATTACTTATAAGGAACAAACGTTAACAGCAATTGGTGCGAGAGGTCTGATGCGGTTTACCAATGGACGTGCAGTACAACCTGTCCCCTACAAGGTCAACAAGAGGACCAAAACTCCTGAAAAGGAGGATGACAGTGAGCTGACAACAGCAGAGATCAAGACTCTTGATAAGAAGATCAATGAGTATGACCAGAGAGGACTCACTAGTGAAACAGCAAATCTTCAGCACCATAACTGATAGGCTGCTGCTGTGCATGCAGAAGCTCAAGGCTGCTTCAGTGATTTGGGCTGAGATCTGCGATATTCATGAAGGGAAAACGAGCTGTCCAGATTGATCTGAGGCGAAGGCTTCAGGAGACCAGATGTGAGGAGAACGGAGATATAAAGACTCACTTTAGGAGATGCTTGGCTCGCGAGTCACTGGCAGGCATGGGAGCTGCCATCAAGGAGAAAGACTTCTATGCCATGATACTGGCGTCCCTCCGGAATCCTATGTCCCCTACTCTCATCCATTAGTGTGGCTATGAAGATAACCGGTGCATCCATAAGCTCCTATGAACTAATCAATATGTCTCAGAGGAATATGAGCATCGCAACTCACCAGTCAGCAACCTACCAAGAAGGGACCCAATTGGCCCTATCAGCAAGAGGACCTCCAGGAAAAGGAAGTCCTGTCCACCTCCTCACCCCAGTCCAACCCAGACGCAGTTTGTTATAACTGCGACCAAAAAGGCCACTACAAAAGTGATTGCTGGAGGCCAGGGGGAGGAAAAGAGGGTCAGGGACCAAACCAGAGAGGGAAGAGGGGAGGACATACCCAAAAACAGAGCGTGAATGCTGCAAAGGAGTCAGAGGGCCAGGAGAACTATGCTTTCATGACAGATGACCTTGCCAACATTGCCCAGAGGATAAACATACCTCCTGAACGCGTGGAGCCATAGTAGACTCCAGCGCAACCTCCCATTTCTGTCCTGACAGGTCGAAGTTCTCGAACTTTGTCCCTATCACCCCACAAGAT